AATAGAGTATATAATGTTAATTATTAATGGTATAATAAATTGACCATGCGTGGTGTTTGTACCTATATAGTTTTAAAATATCACATTAATAAATACTGTTAAAATACAGTTAATTCGATACTGGTCGAAACAACTTGCCTATTATAAAATTTCGAAGTATAATCCTCGCGTTCGAAACGGGTCACTTTATTAATATCCTGTTATGGCACGACGAAACGTGAAATTCTGCGATTCAACGTTCGCCCGCGAAATTTTCATCAAAATTAATCACCGCATGGGTATCGTCGACGGTAGAAAGCCGCGACTCGCCCCCAACAGTTCGGGTAAACATAATTCGTCTGGTTGAAAGCTTCACGTCTCGACACTGTACCTCGAGCAGGCACAAGGACACGCTGGATATCATGCAAACATCGGGGCGATTTGAAATGCGAGCGAATACGGGGCATAACTGGTTGAATCCGTTACCTTCGACGGTTTCGTCGACAACAACAGCTATTTTCCGGGAGAAGGGAAAGTAGGACGTGTGCCCGTGACTACGACAAGCGTCGATGAAACGGGAGCTAGAGCGATTACCTCAGTTGATGGCGTTCGCGTCGCGAAGAAGCAGACCCACCTGTACTGTTGGGAGATCATTTGATAGCTAGGCTGAGGAATGTGGGTCTGATCAATTTTTGTCTTATTTACGATATTAAGTTGCTATCTGTTAACACGTTAAGTACCATGTTAGTCACTGATGACCGACGCTTCTGAATTACTTGAAAACAATCATAATATACAAGTTAACCAATGACGAATGAAAATATTTAATAACCTAACTACGCTGATAATAGTGTAATTCAAGGATTATAACGCCCATTGTTAGATGTGACTAATTGAAATTATAAACAGAACACATAAGCCTTCCTTTGCCTTCTGTTATCCTGCCAGACATCGAATTATCTCCTAACTTAAGGCGTTGTCTGTCTAACAGTTAATGGCTGTTGGGAAGACACAGGAGCAAGATGTGTTGTTTGTAGTTTTGTTTGATTTGTAACTGTATTGACAATAGCAAAATTAATATCGAAAATAAGGAGAGGTAAGATGATAACTGACCAATTAAACCCGTATTCCTTAAGGCTTCCATACACGTTGAAATCTCTGGCAATGCATGCATCGCTATAAGTGATGGGTTTTAGCTTTCCAAAGTTTTATGATACATATTACATTCAAACAAAAAGTGAAGAAGCCTCAAATCTATCATTTGCAGCGATGTCTACATCGCCGCATGTTTCAGCGTGTATGGGGGCCTTAAGCCATCGAGTGGTAGTCTGGTAGGGAAGAATTAGGTATACCTGGGTAGGTAGATTTGCAGCTGATCATAAACTACACCTAACCCTCGATTTACACGGTTGATTAATTCCCTGAAAATGCCGTGTAAATTGAAATCGTGTAATTCGAATGCCGTGTAAATCGAGGGCTAAGCATATACTTATCTACGAAAAGGATTGGTGTTCCGTTCCATCTGTCCGTTCCGTTGCACCCTAATCTCCTCCACTGTACGATTAGACTTCATTTGTATTTATAAATATTAGTAATCCCATGCCTTATGACTTATTTCGTAATTATGATTGATATAACTACTTCATCGTTAATAATTTATTAGGAAAAGAAACAATTTTTATGCTTATGCTACATCTAAGTTTACTCCAAAGGTTAACGATTAATAATAAAAAAGTAACATTTAATTTACATTTAAAAGCAATAAATAACATTTACGATTCTCAAATTCAATTTAAAGTTTGCGTCACAATCCTGACACGATATTGTAGGTCAAAGGTTTAAACGCGCACGAAAAATATGAAAGCACATCTAAAAATTGTTTAATTGTTAATTGACTTACGACATGTTCATTTTGCCCCTTTGAAACCAATTATCCGAAAAAACGTTTATTCGGACAGATTTGCTTTCTATTTAACTCGGATAATAGGTGTTTTGCTGTAATTGTTTTCGGACGTTGTGTGGATGGTAAAACCCTCGGTATCTGATCTTGATCTAACCGTACCTTTGACCCCTGCTGCGAACCAAGCCTACACACTTTCTGATCTCCTCGAGATTCGCTACCGTGGTGCGTAATTAATATTTTATGCTGGGACACACGGTACGCGACCGGCTCGCGTTCCTCCCCTTCGGTCGCGTTTCGCGAACCTAATGGACCCGAGATTTACGAGCAAACTGTTGCTTTTGTTGCGCCGTGGTCACGGCTTCCTCTATACGCGAGCGTCGTACGCGGATTCGCATTGTCTCGCGTTAAAACGACAACGATTGTTTCTGCCTGGCAGAGAGGAAATGACAAGATTCACACTATTTGATTGACTCACGCATGGAAATTATGGAATACTATTTTCGTCAAACAAGTGTCCTTGTTTTTTATGCTTGTAAGCTGTTGTTTTATGTCATGCCGGGCACATGAGTAAATTTTAAATTGAATTTAATTAATGCGAACTTTATTCAGATCGAATCATTTTGAGAGAAATATTATTTCACGTTTATAAGTATTCAACATATAAAGCAATTTTCATTCTCATTTTGTTAGTACTGAAGTCATGAAAGCGTTTATATTGGAAATTATTGTCAGTATTAATGTTTTTATCTATATAGAGCAATGAAAATGATGCACAAACTTTTAAAGATAAGATAATATATACATTTTTTAGTTTTATAAAAGTAACGTATCAGCTATTTTAATTATCCAGTAATTCTAGCATTAAGCTTTCGAATACAAAATATTACTAATGTTCATAATATAACGACAAGGGGACTATATTAAATAAATGCAAATAGTTTATAGATATACTTTTCTCGATTTGTGTAGAATATACAAATTAATCACATCAACTTTAGATATACATATTTCAAGAGATTTTATCATTTTAATTTCAGTCTAGTATAAATTTGTCTTTTATATACTATAAAACATCGTATAATCGGTATTGCTTTCAGCGAGGAAACTTTGTAACACAATTCCTCTGAATTCTTGCCAGCGATCATTGAATTAAAGAATGCAACAGCTACAGTGGAATCCTTTAATCCGATTTCCCTCTCGACTTTCAAGTTCTCCGTGTCCAAAAAACGACGGGGAGAAAAACTTAAATCCAATTCCCGGGCGAAGTCGATTTATAATGGGTTCCCATCTGTTTCCTGCGTTACAAAAAACGAAAGAATCACTGGGGCGATATAATGGTCATACTTAAAAAGTTGATCCTCCATCAGTCTCGCGTAACGAAGACAAAGTCCTCAGACTATCCTTACGAATATTTTGAAATATGATAATAAACATTTTTCTTATTATTATACAGTAATTAGTATGATACAGTATCGCGAAAAAATAGATATTCATATTTTTCATAATTATTTTTATTGAGAATTTTTTAGCTTAATATTTTACAAATAATATCAATTCGTTGTCAGAATAGATACTGCTAGGAATCATTAATGATAAACTTTTCTACCTAAGCAGGAACGAAACTATTAGACAACTGGTTAATGGCGTTTTTAATGTCTGTGCCATGTTAAAAGATGAAAATAAAACATGTTTCTTTGATAATAAATTTATTAAGAAATTTAAGATTATTGATTCTGAAATTTAAAAGATTATTAATTTGTATAAAAGTTCAGATTTATAATAAAACATAATAATTTAAAAGATATGTTTCTAGCTTCAAAATTGTTTTTGATTTATTCGATGTATTAAAAAGTATGGGGATAACTTAATTAGAATTATATTGTTATAGTATTACAAATAGGATTTAAAAAATATTGTGATTTAATTTTTTCACACGAAATAAGAAGTTTTGAACCTTTATTACGTACTTGGCAGCCTTTTCTGCGAAAGCATAATTTGGTTTACTTGAAGCTGTATAGGTAACACATATTTATGTAGTTACGCAAAACGTATACGATTATATGGAATTGAATTCTGCTAAGGTATGTTGAAAAATGTAGTTTTTAGAAATGTAGTATTAAAGTCCCCAAGTGGTGCTTACGATGGTCAGCAATTTCTTATGAAAAAATTCATCTGCACAATATTATTTCCAGTCTTTATACAAATAATAAGTTAAAAATATTTACGGAGTATTTTATCCTATTAAAAATGCAGCAGATTAAAATCTCTTAGACCGTTTTAAATTAATATAAAGTTCCTTAAAAAACTCTCATCAAAGAGAACAATTCTGATCTATTTGTATACATATACCATCAGACTGAAATTGATAAAATTTTAACCGAATCATGTGTTTAACATACCTGTCAACGTATTAAAGAGAATGACACCTTATTATAAAATATAATTCCAATATCTACTACAAAAGATACACAAAAAATTCCTAACTAAGTACCCATAAAAATCATATAAAACTCAAATTAATTTATTCAGCGAAACAGAAATTGAAAATTCAGTATTCACATTCCCAGCAATTATTCTCCTCTCTCACCCAAAAGCCTAACGAAAACCAAGAAAAGAGAGAGAATAAACACGTTGAAATCTGTACAAAAAAAAAGAAAAACAATATTATCCGTGCCTTATCGGAACAGTCGACGCGTTAAATAAAAGGCTAGGTTCGTCAGAAACGGGAAGCAAAAGAATCTCGTGGCGCGTGTGATTTGCTGCGATCGTGTTTCCTGAAGTGAAGTCACGGGAAACGCCAATCGAAAAAGAGACGACACTCGAAAAAGGAGTAAAAAAAAGGAGAAACCTAAAAATTGGCTTAATTATGGGTCGCAATTAAAGGATGATAATGGTCGGAGAAGGATGCGCTGGGGTTGGAGCGCGCGAGGAGATGGAAAGGGGGGAGGGAAAACGGGAGCAAAGCGGGCAGGA